AAAGACATACACATCTTATCAAAATAAGATTATTCCTACATATAATGTTGGAAACCGCATTGGACAAAGTAATCCTTGCACGCTTACAAATGAACTATATTGCTTTAACCTGCCTTTCATTTTTACATAGTATAATAGATTCCCGTAATGGACATTTCGGTGCTTCGGAAACAAGTTGTCATGTTTTGTTGACTTGCATTATTTGTACTTACATACGTGGAGTGCTACTTAATTATCATTTAGATTTTCCATAGCGTTTTGCCAGAGCATGCTTCAAAGTACTTGCTATTTCATATTTAAGTTAAATTTTCAAGAAATAGTACCATAGCATTTGATATATTTAGAAGTAATATGAAAATTTCTCTTTGTCATGAAAATCAAACATTTTATAAATAGTAAAATACCATAAGATAAATGACAAGTTTCAGCACATTAACCTACACTTTTTGTGAACCAGGAAGACTTCTTTGTCATATGGAACTATTTAATTATATCATTCTGAAACATAAAGCTATTTAGATTGGAGTAACACTTTGTTTTGTCACATGATCAGTTATATCCTACAGTCTGTCGTTGTTTTTACCAGTGGCAACAATTATGTTATGTTCGTCAAATGACAAATCAGTTGTGACAGCATTACTTCCCTGTTCATATGTACTTCAAGAAAAATCTAACGTGTTTCTCCAATATTTTTAAGGATATTCGCTACTTTTTCAAAGACTGTTATCAATTGACAGTATTTAAATACAGAAACTAATAAAGCAGAAAAAAATGGAGGGTCCGTGTGCTTGTTTTCGACATATAAGCCATTGAAAATTTGGCGGGAAAATATTCTCTCTAGATTTTTCGTACATTTAACACCTTTTTTCTTTCAAAAACTATGAAGATAACAAGGATTTTATAAGATTTTCAAATATGGCTTTTTAAACTATATCTAATAAAATTATGAAAAGAAAAGTAGGGGTTAGCGGGCAAAATATTTATTAACACTACTTTGATAAAACCAGAGGATTCCGAATATCTGACAAAAATTCAAAAACAAGAGGATGTATAAATGGGTATGAGTGGAAAAGTAAGTTTATTGTGCCCCGAGGTGCAACTATTGCCCTGAGGCGTAGCCGAGAGCAATAGTTGTATCCGAGGGGACAATACACTTACTATTCCAAGAATATCCAGTCAGTAAGTGTTTTATTATACCGAAAGAGGAAACAGACAATAAATGTCGGAGCTAAATCAACTATCGTAATATAAAAGCAGAAACCCAACCATATATATTCTGAATGAAGGCTACGTCCCGCACTGACGTCAACCCTAGATACAATAGGTAAAACGCGACGTCGGAACTCCCGCAGTATTCTCAACATCCTCCAAGCCCGTGGCTGCAGTTGAAATTCCGCGAAAAAAAAATGACGCTTGTAGTCAAATAGTTTCATCGAGGGCAAATAGTTGGAAACTATTGATCGGACCAATAATTCAACACTTGCGATTTGAAAAATAGGGAAAATATTGTGTACTTATTTTATATAGAAAATGATAACTGTGGTATGATAAAGACATTTACTTAAGCGATACCGTGTCTATGTTGTTTTTTTTTAGTTTGTTTATTTGTTTGTTTGTTTTGTTGGTGTTTATCGTACTTTCAGGTACTTTGGCTTTATCACGGCTACCGGTTTGCATTGTTGGAGAAAGTTGGAGTATCCGGAGAAAACCACAGAACCTCGACATAAAAACTTGCAATACTTGTCTATTAAGGTCGGCGTCGACCCTTACCCGATTCCTGGACAATTCATGCGTAAAGACACCCCAAATATCCTAAAAGGAAAAGCATACATAAACGTCAGGAATATCTCTTTGTTGACCTGATACTCATCGGCCCATATTTATATTTAGATATCTGAGCTTGAGATGTATGTACCAAATGTAAAAGAATCTAGTAATTAGATATTCTTCCAGCTAAAACGTAATTTGAAGAGATTAAACAATAACATTTTCACATCTAAAAAAATTAGTACATTAAATTAAATTGCCTTGAATTTTAAAGGGTCAATTTCTATATCTATATACTTTTATAAGAATACATCTTAAAGATCTAAAATCATTTGCTCCACATCATTGTAAAGTGAATATTTGTTTTTATTTTATCTATTACCTCCGTACTATAATTAGTGAACATATGCAACAGAAAAAACTATACCGATGCATTTAACTTTTAATGACCATGGAAACATGTAATTAATCCATTATATATAACCATTTTACACTCTAAAATACATAGCTCAATTACTATCATACATAGACTGTATAATTAAATACATTTCCAGGATGACGAATTTCATCACACTAACCTACACTTTGTGTGAACCAGGAAGACTTCTTTGTCATATGAAACTATTTAATTATACCATTCTGAAACAGAAAGCTATTTAGATTGGAGCAATTCTTTGTTATGTCAATCAGCTATATTCTACAGTCTGTCGTTGTTGTTGCTAGCTGGCAACAGTAATGCTATGTTCGTCAATGACAAATTAAGTGTTATTTCCTTGTTTTTCTAGTAGAAAAATCTAACGTGTTTTCTCTTATATTTTTAAACCAATGTTGTTATTATCCTATGAACATGATTTCATTGCTTCCGTATAAGCCTTACGTCATTGCTTTCTCAGCATCCATTCTGATATCATACAGATATAATAGAATAAAGACACTTATTTAAGCTATGCCGTGTCTACAAACCGTATGAAATTTTCACTGTAACACCACACGGTTCCGTCAAAATTCACGAAAGACTAATTTGAGTAAAAAGGATAGGGAAAAGTTGTCGTATTGTCAGCTTGTTTGGGGCTCTTATAGGTTTTTTTTTACCAGCTATTGAAATTTTTGCTTGATAATTGGGAAACAAAAAATACGAAATGTGTATCCCACCTTCAAGAGTTGGTACACCCCTCACCTGTGCGCCATTTAAAGGTTCCCTGTATGATACTAGACCGACACGGTAAGCCATACGGTATGTGTTTAAACATATTAGCTCACCACTAAGTAACTTTCCGCAGATAACTATGCATGTTTTGGACATCAGGCTGGCCTACTTTTTCATGTCACATGATTAAATACGATAGCAAACTATAAATTCAAGTAATTGATTTATCCTAGTCAGGAATCGAACACATGACCTCCAGCTTAAATCATGGAATCACGATCGAACACGTGACCTCCAGCTTAAATCATGGAAGCACGATACGTTGGAACAACTGTTTGAATTTTTTTATCATTGTTGACGAGTTTATACTAAATGTATTTTATTTGCTGTCCAAAGTTGATAAAAGGATAAATCTACTTTCGGTAAATGTAATGTATTTTTGCATGGTTTAACCCATAGATTTCAATTTATCTTGTAGTCAAATATTTAAATAACTTTAAAAATAGCATTAACACCATTTAAATGATACAAGATTACTTATTCAATCTATTATCATATCATAGTTTTAAGGTATCTTTCGTATGTAAATATATTTAAATATTATGTATTAAGCACACAATGAAAAGTATGTTAGTATGTCTGACGTGTTTTGTGGTAATATTATTGATTTGGGATATTTTCATTCACGATTTACGATTTGCACTTAATAGCTCAAAGAATAACATGTATTTCTTGTTTTGATGAACAAAGATATATATGAAACAAGGTTTTTCGATGGTACTTTCATAGCTTTTCATAAAAAAAGAGAGATCAGAAAGTGTACTTTGTTGTAGATACATAAACTTGACGAATATAAAGTACAACAGGCTAGTGACAGGTAGTCATTTTGAACTACAACATATCAGCTCTTATAAGCTGATTTATATCAGGACTTTCAATATCGACATGAATTTTCCAAAATAAAAAACTTCCATGAAACATAATACATGAATAAGGAATATATAGAACATAAGAAAATGTTAACTTTAAAATAAAATTTAGAATAATTGGTTAAAACTTGGACAATTGATGATTGGAAGCACATTAACACTATTCCAAAACAACACGATATATCAGTTGGTAGGACCTTTATTTTTACACAGTGTGACTTTCAACAAACACTTACCTAAGGCTTAGAGTCTCAAGTGATAACCAAAACCAATGCGTAATTTAGATCTCTTGGAGCAAGGAAGTATTATATTGTCAATATAGTACTTCAACGATTGGAGGAAACCGACCAAATAATCCCCTGTCCAAGCCCCGATCCTTCCAATACGCAAGACAACTTATATGCCAAAAAAGGACTCAAAGTAGACATTAGACAACTTGACAATCTAACTTTTTTTTAATATGAGCTACACGACAGATTGCCGATAAATTTCAATTTTTAGTTTAAAGTTGATGCGATGTTATGCGTACATGTACTTTGCTTGTCTATTAAGTTGATAACAGTATTATTAGTGGATCCTTTACATGTTACGGTGGGTTTTTTTTTAAATACCAACTTGACATGGAGTGTGTCTTTTTTCTGTTGAGTGCACTGATAAATTTATAATTTGTCTCTGACAAATTACAAAAGTCGTTTTACTGATATATACATCATCTTTTTTCATTAAATGGTTTTTCTAGCTAATTGCTCTTCAGAATTCCAGACTTTGTGTCTAATACTGCCGACGAAATACTATTACGCAATAGTACAAGCACAAACTTATATTGTTTATAAAGTAAAAATAAAAATAATATGATCATATGATATTTTTTTTAATTTTTTATTCTTTTGTTGTCGTAATTAACCTCGTTTTCGGTTTTTACCATGGTGTTGTCAGTATGTCATCGACTTAAGCTTATGAGTATATATGATCCTTTGGTATCTTCTGCCTAGATCTCTTAAAACGGATAATGTAGAAACTTTAATGTATAACCTGTTACATGAGCAGTATTATACAAACACAAACTTTTCAACAAGTGATATGTTTTTTTCTTGAAAATGTTTTTAACAATTATACTTATTTCAATGGGAAACCTATGGCATAACAAAAATAACAAACTATTTAGATTATTTTATATAGGTAAATCGAATTGTTCATTTTCATTATTTGACCTAGATAAATCGTTAAAGTTGCCTTCAGGCAGCACATTAGGTGCAAAACGTACAGACAAATCGATCTGCGGTTCTGTTGCCGGAAGTAAGTTTAAGCACGAGTTCCTTGGTATTGATCTGTCTCTATGTGCACTAGACTGACTATTCTCAGGACTAGAAGTATCAATTGATTGAGTACTATCAATTTCAATGACGTTGTTGGTCTCAATATCTCTTTGATCAGTTCGTTGTGTTAAGTACACGTTTTTAATTTTTGAGATTAAATTTTGGTCAATACTTTTATTGATATTCAATTTCTCGGTATCATAATTGATGTTGATATTTCCTAATGGTCTTTCGTATCCTAGATTATTTTTGCGGAAACTATCTAACTGGATGTGTTCCGGTGCATATCCTGATTCTAAAGTTTCACTATAGCTATATATTTTAATGACTCGCTGGACGGTTGAAAGAATTAACCACACATTTATTACAGAAAAGAAAATAATACTAAGGAAAAATACTGTCAAAGCTGTATAATGCATAACAAATGGTGTTTCGTGAAACATACCCATTATTAAAAATATTACTGGAATTACTCCGCGAAAGACAATGGTTGTGGCACAACTGGCGACTGACATTTTTTTGTAAATACTAGTCTTATGACGTCCTAATGTTTTCATAATTTTTGTAACTTCTACAAGAAATGTATTTAATTCAGTTAATATTCCAAGGATCCCTAAAAGCATGTTTTGTCTATACACCAATATTACACTGTAACAGACGATAGTGACCACGTGGTGAACAGTGTCCGTTCGGAAACGTGCTTTATCAATATGCGGAAATAGATATGCATCTTGTAAAATCAAATATACGTAACGTCCTATATTTATTGCCAAAACTATTTGAATGAACATCGACTCTGACGTGTCTATATTTCCACTGAAAGGAACTCGTATAATGTTTGTAGAACATATACAAATGATTGCTAGGGTAGATGATATTAATACTGTCACTTGTTCTGTAAATCTGTAATATAAGAAGAAAAAAATTACAAAGTAAAATCTATAAAAGATGTATGAAGATGCATTTCAAGTAAGCTAAAAACAAAATTTGTTTCACAGATGACGACGGATATGTTCCAATTGTCGTATCTACTATCTCGTCCCCTTCCCGCGAATGTCACCTACCGAATTATACATATCACCGTATTTGTACTTACATGAGCAAGCCAACACGACGGGTGTCACATGTGGAGCAGGATATGCTTACGCTTCCGGAGCACCCGAGATCACCCTAGTTTTTGGTACGGTTCGTGTTGCTCAGTCTCTGGTTTTCTATGTTGTTTTGTGTACTGTTGTTTAACAATGTCCGTTTGTCTTTTTCTTTTTTAGCCATGGCGTTGTCAGTTTATTTTTCGACTTATGAGTTTGAATGTCTCTTTGGTATCCTTCGCCTCTCTTTTGTAACGAACATCGTCAGAGTTGTGTTTTAAATGTTGTATTGTTGGTCATTTAGGAAACTGATACCGCTGACAGATATTTAGTACTCCCTGTAAAATTTATTTACAACATTCTTAGACTCAGGATTGTACTGAATTGTACTGGACTCGAATGTGTACTTCCCTTACCAGTCAGCTGTACTTGACAAATAGTACACACAAAGTCAAAATTGTTCACAAAAACGACTGAGTGCAGATCAGACTGTTTCAAATAAGGTTCGATTGTGGTCAACTACGATATTAAAAGTTAAGTACAATTAAACAAGATACTGAACGGTTCTGACTAGAAATAGTACAGTTTATGTACTATTGAGCACCACTTAGACTATAGAGACTGTCTTTATATCGCAAATATATTACAGAAACTATTTGCATATAAACATAGAATATGAATAAAGATGGCATTCAATGACACAGCAACCGAACGACACAAAAATACAAAAGAATATATCGGTCGATGTACCGCCATGTTCCTCTACAAAGATCTATATGTTAGCTCTACACCGCCCCAAAAAAAGATATATCTAAGAAAGTACAAAAGAAAAATTAAGTTCAGAAAAAAGGTCATAGCTCTATTATAAAAAGGTACAAATAAAAAAAAATACAGTATCACATTTAAAGGTACTGACCACAAACGCATAAATTTAATCTATGAATATCAAATCATGTCGTCCTATACTCTAGCATCGATGACTGTATTTATTAGTAAATTTCAATCATCAACACCATCAACATTGCAGGAAACCAAGATCCTGTGCTATGTCAGACTTTTCCAGACTAGTCGAGTACACATTATCATTCAGAAAAGATAAGTATTTAAGTCAGACATTTCCTGGTTCGTTGTGTCAGCCATGGATATGATAACTCAAGTAAGTAGACCAAGCACTTGATAACGTGTGAAGGTCAAGAGATCAGATGACATACATATATTCATTATTATAATACTAGTAGGTCATGTATAAAGCATTGCACCATATACAATTCTTAACTTTTTGTCCCCCTCTTTTTGACTAAAACTCAAAAGTTATAAACTGGTATAATGACAGTATTGGAATGTAAATTCTTGGCAATGTTATATATTTTTTTTTGGTTGGTCAAATGTTGACCTAAATATGAAAGTTAGGAGAAGTGGTTACGAATTTCAATGAGGCATCGATCAACCAGAGTTCAAATCACGTGGATTATTATAGGTCATCTTACAGCCTTTAAGAATGAAGAAATATCCATACCGTATAGTTAGCTATGAAAGGCCCGACATGATAAATTTGAAGCAATTCAAACGAAAATACTAGGTCTGATGTATAACAATACAATTTACGAAAAAAAACCCAAACATGACAGATATAAACCAACCACAACCACTGAATAACAAGGCTCCTGACTTGGGACAGGCATATACAGAATGTTGTGGGGTTAAAATTGTTTGTGAACGCTCAACACTCCCTAACCTGGGACAGTGGTATAAGAGCTCAACATCAGAACAAACTGTAAAAATCAAATGCAAATGGCTTCACTCAATAGATTGGTATGAAGCACAGAAAAACAATGAACATAAAAACAATAGACACAAAGCCCCGATATAAAGTTGTTTTTAACAATAGACACAAAGCCCCGATATAAAGTTGTTTTTAACAATAGACACAAAGGCCCGATATAAAGTTGTTTTTAACAATAGACACAAAGCCCCGATATAAAGTTGTTTTTAACAATAGACACAAAGCCCCGATATAAAGTTGTTTTTAACAATAGACACAAAGCCCCGATATAAAGTTGTTTTTAACAATAGACACAACGCCCCGATATAAAGTTGTTTTTATGTACATGTATAAAACAGATGATAAGTGACCATTTTTATTAATATTCAAACAGCTGATAGATGACCATTTTATAACAGGTAACAAACATCTCGTTACATTTTATATCCTGTCACGTTCTACAGTCAGATGGAAAAATCGGGGAAAATTTTAAAAGTCTATTGAAAAACCTTAGTGCAGATTAGTTTACCGTAATGGTTTGAGTGCAGAATTATCTAATGAAAACTCTCATTAATCTCGGGTGGGTTTTGTATTCTTGAAGTGTTTGGTTTTTGGTCGTCATTAAGTTAAAAATATAATACATGTATGTACAAAAAATACCGTTAAATAATTTTATCGTTTTTATTTTATTTATTAAATGTTTATACAATGGTAACGTCGAACGGTTTGAATTATCTGATAGGTGACTTCCTCGTTCTATAACCTCCAATGAAAGACGACCTATAGCAGTAGACTATAGCTGTTTAAGTATACATTTCCACATTCACGTGATTAACGGGTACTTCCTAGTCAAAGTGTAATTCTGTTAAAAGCATATATTCAAAGTACTTGAAACTCACGAGTACTAGTGTACTAGTATTCAACATTTTATCAAATAGAAAACTGAAAAGGGGGAGGACAAAATTAATAAAAACTCAATATTCATCTGATAAAATATAATTATACTAAAAAGCTTTTATTTAATCTTTTTTTATTATTAAGTAATCAGAAAAATATAAAACGCTTGTTATAAGAAATTTATGACTTTTTACATACGTAAACAAAACTCAAGAAACTCAGCAACTAGTTCTATAAACCTATTTTTAGTTTGTCAAAATCGAATACATAGAAATATGACCAATTTCTTATGCATGTGTATCAACTATTAACATTGCTGTATTAGACGTTTTTGATGTAATTTTGCACATTTAAAAAATTGTAAAATTTTGCATCGAAGTACAAAAATGGAGAAACAGGTGTATTAAGTGAAAACACCGTATTTCCGATAGAATTTTCGTCCTTCTTATTTATGTATGATTGGGGGTCCTTCTGATTTATGTATGATGGGGGGTCCTTCTCATTTATGTATTTTTGGGGGTCCTTCTTATTTGTGTATGATGGGGGGTCCTTCTTATTTATGTATGATTGGGGGTCCTTCTTATTTATGTATGATGGGGGTCCTTCTTATTTATGTATGATGGGGGGGTCCTTCTTATTTATGTATGATTCGGGGTCCTTCTTATTTATGTATGATGGGGGTCCTTCTTATTTATGTATGATGGGGGGTCCTTCTTATTTATGTATGATGGAGGGTCCTACTTATTTATGTATGATTGGGGGTCCTTCTTATTTAATTATGTATGATGGGGGGTCCTTCTTATTTATGTATGATTCGGGGTCCTTCTTATTTATGTATGATGGGGGTCCTTCTTATTTATGTATGATGGGGGGTCCTTCTTATTTATGTATGATTCGGGGTCCTTCTTATTTATGTATGATGGGGGTCCTTCTTATTTATGTATGATGGGGGGTCCTTCTTATTTATGTATGATGGAGGGTCCTACTTATTTATGTATGATTGGGGGTCCTTCTTATTTATGTATGATGGGGGGTCCTTCTTATTTATGTATGATTCGGGGTCCTTCTTATTTATGTATGATGGGGGTCCTTCTTATCTATGTATGATGGGGGGTCCTTCTTATTTATGTATGATGGAGGGTCCTACTTATTTATGTATGATTGGGGGTCCTTCTTATTTATGTATGATTGGGGGTCCTTCTTATTTATGTATGATGGGGGTCCTTCTTATTTATGTATGATTGGGGGTCCTTCAATTCTTTATTCTTTAATTTTTTATACAACTTTTTTCTATTCTTTATCTATTTTCCCTTTATTTTCTATTCTTTATCTATTTTCCCTTTATTTTCTAATCTTTATCTATTTTCACTTTATTTTCTATTCTTTTTATTCCAACACCCCATTATTCTCTTTTCTTTATTTGTTTTGCCTATTCTTCTCTTTTCTTTAATTTTTTCGTCCTTTATTCTACACTTTTGCCCATTATTCTCTATTCTGTAAACCCCATTTAGACCCTCATGTATTTGATAATTTCGTCATGTATACATGCATGTAAGTCGCTAGTTTAGCTGTTGTTATTTCATGCTGAATCAAACACACTTTATGACTAAGAGTTCCAATCAGGAAGAGAAAGATATTTTAAAGCTTTAACTCTCTGCACTGTCCTACTTTCCTAGTGGGGTGATGATAATATTACATAATCGCCGTTCTCTTCCTGGTCTCGGAGCTATTAACAGTTCTGTTTATTCTAATACAATCATCAGCACTAAAGCAATCATAAAATCGATCATCACCATTTTTTTACATTTCAACATAACAAGTTTTTTTTCTTTGTTGTATTTTAATGGAATAATTGAAAAGCTACCGACAAAAAAAAAACATATTAAATTAGAATTTATTGCATTTTTGCAGAATTCAAGTCTAAATTGATTATTATACTTTTATACAGGAGACTATTGAGACATAGCCATGCAGCCATAAATTATCAAGTCTTCTTAAAAAGGTAGACAACACATCAAACAAAAAAGTACAGCAACCGGAAAAGGGCAGACTATCAATACAAACTCCTTATAAAACGACACCAACAAAGCAAACACGACAAGGTGGTGAATAACGTAAGGAGTGTCTAACACACCAACAAAGCAAACACGACAAGGTGGTGAATCACGTAAAGAGTGTCTAACACACCAACAAAGCAAACACGACAAGGTGGTGAATAACGTAAAGAGTGTCTAACACACCAACAAAGCAAAACGACAAGGTGGTGAATAACGTAAAGAGTGTCTAACACACAAACAAAGCTATCACGACAAGGTGGTGAATAACGTAGAGTGTCTAACACACCAACAAAGCTATCACGAAAAGGTGTTGCCTAACGTAAAGAGTGTCAAAATGTATCACCTTTTTGATAACTCACAAATTTTAAACCGGTTTGGGCTCTACTTTTTTATCTCTGTTTTCTTTTAATTTATACATGTGTTTCAACGGCCAGTTCCTTCAAGTCAATAACATTTTAAGGTTTACCGCTTAGTTTCCACATGAAAAGTAGACGTGAATGCTATCACTGCCTTGAAGAATAAATACTGATCAAAACATGTTTCGTTGAAGCCGAAAAATTACAAAAGTCAAATGCTGTTCGTACGCCGTTGTGCTCTTAAAGCTCTTACATTATGTGAAATCAAGCAACAGTTCAGAAAATAGATGATTTAAACGCACGTACTGAATATCAGTGCCATATATTTCCTACCACTCAAAATATATACATACATGTAAATAATTTATCTGAAGTAATAAAATCAGAATGTTTTGTTCTGTATAACTGATCATTATTTACCCATTTCAGACTTCTTTGATTTTGGTGAATTATATCATTTCCAAATTCAAAGTAAAAGCTTTTGTGCGGTTATGCAGTTGTAAACTTGGATAATATTGGCTATCAGGCGATCTCTAAAGTAACAGAATGAAACTGCTCCAAAACAGTAAAACGTCTGTTTTCATATAATTTGGTATTGCTTTTCATTTATAGAAGCCCCAACAGAACATCAAGGAGCTCAAATTTCCAGGGATATTTTTTCCTGCTTCGTGTATCTAGCATAAATCAGGACATTTGACCTTCTCTTTTGAAATGATTCACGTTTTTGTCAAGCCGGGGTTTTATAATTAAGATCCATTTATTACATCGGTGATCCGTTTATTTGGCAATCGCCAATGGCAGTCAGCAGGGTTTAACAACATTTGTTGTTCGATCTGTTAGTCAAATGCGTTTTGTTAAAAAAATACTTTTTCACTTTTTTGGTCTTTTGGAAAATGTTGTTTGTGCTGTATTTAGACCCTTCTACAAGAAATTTGTTTTGCATGCACACGTATAAAAATTGCGGTTTTTATCCAACGCAATCATAGGTTTGAACTTTGTTTTCAATTTAGACTTGTATATATATATATAAATTTTACTTTACGGTAAGGGTTTTGCTCATTGTTGAATACAAAAAGTTAGGTAGACAACATAAACAAATGATAACCATACTTGAGCTAAATAAACACTGGTTCGATGCTTTTACGGGTTGATAGATATTATTGAAGGTATCACCAACACTGCTGACCAACATTAATGGAGGGAATAGAAACAATATATTATAGTTATTATCGAAGTTACCATCAGTACGGCTAACTAGCACTAATGGGGAGACTTAAAACAGTATGTCGTTAATTTGTGGTTTCCATCGTGTATAGAAATAGATCATTCTTGTTTTATATCTTCTGCGTTATTTTTAACCATATAAATTGATCGACATTATTTTGATCATTCTATTGCTGAAGTATTCTTCTGTGAGAAATGAACTTTAATCATGATATTGATTTATCGGAAACTTACTTCCGCGTTCTAAAAGGTTAATACTTTTTGATCAAATTACAGCATGTTGTCATGAAGTCGTTTATTTGAGAAAAGAGAAAAAAACATCAATTTTCATTTTGTAATACAAACGTCACTGATGTTTATCATTTCATACAATGACATTGATAGCATTATCCTTATTAATGTGAAATGCATTACTAGGACAATTTAAAAAGTATCCGTTTTTGTAAAGAAATTGTACAAATATAAAGATTTGTTAATATTCAAATGTAATGAAGCCAATTATAAAACTTCAATAGATGAATCCCATTGTTAAAATGCTTGATTAATTTGATAATATTCTCTATGAATAAAACTAAAGACAATGACATTGCAATAGAGACAACAGTTAGAACCTCAAAAACAAAAGTTCACAAAAACTAGACATATAATGGTTACCATGCAAACGGTCTTTGGCGGATGACAAGCGCCCACGCTTTATAGTCCATTTTAAATTAAATCTCTTGAGGATAGAAAAACAAAATAATTCAAGCAATATTGGCCGAATTTCCAAACTCCCAAAACATATCTAAATGGACAAACTATGATACTTTATTTCATATTGTAACTACCGCGGTTGTTATTCGATTTTCACGTGGAGGATTAAACTTGATTTAAACATACTTAAAATCCCTGCTTTCTTTGACATTTTATTGAACATTGTTTTACATGTAGGCAAAACGGCTGCGGCAAAACGTACTTTACAAATCAAACCCAGAAAAAAGCACTTAATTTATTACCTTTATCTGTAACATAGAAGATCAATATATAGCAATATATTAACAATACTACAATATAGCGAAGTAGTTTTGACAATTTTATATGACTATAATTTCTTGATTTAACAGATGTAAATATATAGGCTTTTTATAAGGTCAGCATATTTCCAATTTGCACATGGCAACATCTTGTGCATTATATTTGTTTCAAATGAAAAGGGATACGAGATGGAGTACAACTGGTTGAGGAAGTAAATTTATGAAAATGTTTTATTTTTCGTTTAATGTTATTGCATTAAATCAGACCGTTGGTTTCATTAAGCAGGGATAAGCCAGGTTATCAGTTAAAACTGGTTATGCAAAAGCAATCTATCGAGACTGTTAAAAGGTTCAACTTAAATATTATGATTATATCTTTTCACAACCGACTAGCTGACCTTTCAAGACCGACAAGCTGACCTTTCAAAGCCGACAAGCTGACCTTTCACAGCCAACATCATGACCTTTCAGAATGGAAATGATGTGGTCTTCTGGTCTACCATTCACAACTGAGATCGTGTGATACGGTATACCTTTTACAACCGACATCAAGTTATATGTTAAATCTTTCAAAACCGACATCAAGTGATATATTCAACCTTTCACAACCGACATCATGTGATATGGTCTTCTTACACATACGACATAATGTGATATGGTCTTCTTACACATTCGATATCATGTGATATCATGGTCAACTTTCACATCCGACATCATGTGATTAGATCTACTTTCACAACCGACATCATGTGATATATTGCCTACTGGCACAACCGATATCATGTGATATGGTCTACATTTCACAACCGACATCATGTGATATTGCCTACTTGCACAACCGACATCATGTGATATTGCCTACTTGCACAACCGACACCGTGTGATATTGCCTACTTGCACAACCGACATCATGTGATATTGCATACTTGCACAACCGACATCATGTGATATGGTCTACATTTCACAACCGACATCATGTGATATTGCCTACTTGCACAACCGACATCATGTGATATTGCCTACTTGCACAACCGACATCATGTGATATGGTATACATTTCATACATTTACTGATAAAGAATAACAAGTCAATCTTAAATAATTGGAGTCAACTGAAATTTATATTGGTTGTTCTCGCTTTTTTAAATAAATAGGAGGTACAGTCAAACCTGCTTAAGAAACCATAAGCCTGTGTTGTTATACCATTAAATTTTACTTTCGGCCCCTCTGAAGTGCATTTCATATAGATTAAACCTGTATTCAAAGACCCCCCTGTTTCATGAGACCACTTTTTTGCTCTCTTTAGGTGGTCTCTTAAAACAAGTTTCACTGAATGAAACAATTGCTTAAAACAATTTTGTTAATTGTAATTTCAACAATTGGTGTCGTAACAGATCGTAGTTATCCAAATAGCTGTGATAAATACAGACATATATATATGGTAATCATAAGCAACAGCATGAACAAAGATTAGTTTTCCAAAATAGATAGATCCAAACGTTTGTTTTGGAGTACAGTTTCAAATTATTTCAAACAAAATGCAGTTTCAAATTATATCAATAAAAAAGAATTGTTAAACGGATCACTAAATAAAGATAGTCTAAAAACGTATTTTAATCATTTTTTTGTAACTTGTGTGATTGGGTTGCATTTTCATTGATGTTTACAATCCATCATATTTCTAGATCAAGAATAATATAGGGCGTGTCATTCAATGTTGAACATCGTCATTTTAAACTGATTTTGACAAAACGTTTTATAATGTTTTACCAAAAAAATGAAATTAGTCATTCTCTTATCGTTTGAAAATTGAAACTTTCACACACGTGGATCGAAAATAAATAAGCAAATTATTCTACACAACTGGCTTGGAGATTTAAACTTGACTTTAAAGAAACTCAGCTCATAATCAAATTGCGCTTAATACAAGTTTTTATCTGGAATATCTTCCAGCAGATTTGTTGTCTGTGGGAATTTGTGACAGAAATGAGATGAATCCACAAATAATTCAAGGCACTGAGGACACATTCTAAAAAATATATAAGATAAAATCAAATATAATTTGATAGCTTAGATTTAGTGGTCAACTTTATGACTCTGTCGTATTTTTAGATCATGTGTAGAAATATAAATAAAGAAACCATTACACATTAGTTTTATAATTCTATAGGTTTAAACTTAAGTATTATTATAGGAGGAAATGTTGACCACTGACCATTAAATCACTCTTTTATTCATTATGAACTACTTTTGTAACTCATGAAAATAATCACTATATTCACCTTAGGTGACAGAAACTTAATTTATCAAAAAGTACCTTAATTGATATTAATTTTATGTAGAAAAGTAAATAAATTTAATGAATGGTGTCAAAAAGAATTACTTTGTACTGAAGTAAATCAGGTGACCGTCTGACAAGTACATATATATATGAGACCCTTTAAGCATATTTGTTCGTGTGAAAGAAGATCATAGTGGGCTGATCGACAAAATTTGATTTAGAAGAATAGAACTGAATCTGTGTAAAAGGGAAACGCGAATGAATTAGTTAGAAATTAACAAATTTGCACACAATAAGAAAAAAAAGAGAATATCAAAAGAGTACATCGAAGGACAGCCTACACACTGGTCAAATGAGAAAAGAGACGAAAAGACAATAAACATCCCCCCATTGGCAGATCCAGTGAGATAGTTCCGGGGGTTGGAACCCCCCCTTTTTTCGATTTTTTAAATTATCTAAACGTATCATGGTTTTCTGGGGGTTGAAACCCAACTTTTCATAATGACTGGATCAGCGCCTGCCCCCTCCCCTCCCCACCAAAGAAGAAAAAAAAACAACAAAAATAAAGATTCAACTACACAGAAGAAGTAATGTACTACAAAGCTTTATAAGGGAAACCATGATTAGATAGAATATATATCTTACATGAAGAGGAGAAAAGACTCATTCTAGTGGACACTTGGTAAAACACCCCTGTTTCCCACCCTCATTACCCGTTTTTGTGGAATATCTAATAACGTTGCCCATAATTGGGAAATTCCTGATATACAGGAATAGCTTTTTTTAAAGAAATTAATTGAAAACACGAGTACTATCTTGTAGTATGGCCTCCGGATGTTCAGAGAAGATAACATTTTAGAACTCTCTCTCTCTCTCTCGCTCTCTCTCTCTCTCTCTCTCTCTCTCTCTCGTGGACGACAATCGGACAACAAAACCATAGTAGTGCGTTTTGTAGCATGGTTTAATTTTTATATTAAATCACATGCTACCAAATAATTACCATATATATACTAGCACAAAAATTAAAACCCTAAAATTTTGTTCTCATTAGTGTTTCTTTATTTTTTTCATTTAAGACCATGTCAAATGATGGAATAAGTAAGGTAACTTAAAAAAACAAGTGTATAAACAAAAAATTCCAAAAAATGTAAGGAACAAATGAGCACAAATAATTAAAAAATATGCTACAAATATCTAATTAAATTCCAACTTACGCTTTAGAAAGGTCTTGTGTTTTATCCTGGTATACTTGGCATATATGAACGATGCAGTGGTTCGGTCCACAGCAACATTTGTCCTTTAAGCATTTTTGTAAACGTTCACAAGCACAGTATAATATAGTACACACATTAACAGAAAGAGAAACGGCGAAGAGAGCATTAATTGGTACTACCATACTATTAGTCCACTGAAATAGTAACTTTACAACTGTCCAATGTATGTCAAACATTGAAAAAAATATGTCAACTTTTCTGAACTGAATAAATCCGTAACATAGTAGACACTTTGTTCATTATTCAAAGAATGTAGCGTTTGACTAAAGCGAAAGCAGAGTTGAATTGCATGTCAATGATTTAAGTTCGTATACGGAAGAGTGCACTGATCTGAATCGACTACCTTGTATTTATTGTTAGCCAATGTTAGTTACTTCCTGGTTAAAATCGATTCTGATAAAATCCATTACTAGTCCTAATTGAGTTCGCCGTGTTGATGTTGAGTGGATTAGGCAATACATGCGATTATTATTTATGTTTTGAGGAAGTGATATTAAAAATAAATAAAAAAATGTATTGAGGAAATATCGTCTCCTGTATTTGATCAATGTATGTCAAATTGATTTCTTTTTTATCCGTGTTATCTAATCATATCGGTGTAATTTCCATTTATTTATTGTTTCTTAAAAAAGAAGGAAAATACGATGTGGGTGTTGTAAAGTTCACTACAGGAATATCCAAGAAATTATATTTTTTAGCATGAAAATGTTTTTTGTTCTGTTTTGCAATTTCATAACGAATTCGAAGAAATAGTGATCATTAATAGATAAAGTTTCATGCAAACATACAAGTAGATCTATAATGTATACACTGTCATTTAATATGAATGTCGTTCTTATATATGATTTTAGAACGACATATACCAATAACAAAGCAGTGGCTTAGGAGTAGACTGAAAAGTCGGGGGAAGGGGGGGGGGGGGGGGGGAATTCTGAAAGTAAAAAAAAACAGCCTTTCTATAGTCATATTCTAATAGTGTAGGATTTAGTCAGTGTCCTCTTTCATTTCATTTTTATTTCTAATTAATATTTATGTTTTTTTTTTTATCTTTTCTGTAATCGCAATGTCAGTGAACTATTCCGTACTTTGTAAACATATGTACTGTAATTAAGCACCTTTAATGACATAACATAATACCTGAAGTAATGAAATGTTTTATTCTTTAAAAAACACGTAAGGTGTTTTCAGGGCCATGCACTGTTATAAATACATTTTAAGTGTCATTGCCCATATACAATTAGACGTGTTATCCATCAATGTTATTTGTTCATACTGTCTATTTAAACAGACTTTTTATAAACATTTCGCGGAACAAGATATCAGATGAGTGGGAATTCCGAGAACTTTAATCTAACAGTTTCAAGTTAAAGTTGTTTGACATCAAACTTGAGATAACGCTTAAAAGTATGTATTTCGGCCATAAGATACAGTAACAGTATGATGTAACAGAATTTTTTCGACAGAATTTCAAATGTAAAATAAACGTATCTCTTTTTATTAAAGTATAATTAATTCTGTGTGTGCATGGGAGTCTATTCAAAGGTGTTTGGAGGACAAAAAGATAGATAGGGTTTTACTATACAAACCTTTGGGAAAATTGTTATTGTCATGTTAAACTTGAGAACAGCAAGTACTAGAGCCATCAGGTATTCAGTATTGGTCATGGAATAGTTATGGTCTACTTAAGGGTAAAAGGCTCATTGGTCACCTATAACCTTGAACATTATTTTGTAATTACACTAAAACCATAATAGAAAATGGAGAATATAATTAATGATTGGCAAGCAGTAACCCAACATCTTTAAAAAAAATATATAGGCCTTGCACTACACCCCAAACTCAATCGGCATTTTTCTATCCCAAGTTATAAAACGGGAAACGGAAGCAAGGAAAATGTTTGAAATAATAGCTAGAAGAAAGACAGACACCACCATAAAAAAAAGAAGAATAAAGACGTGTAGACAAAATATATTCCATGACAATACTACACGAAAATCCAGATAAAACAAAATTAACCAAACCAAATAATGGAGTCCTTCTGAAAGTAATGAATTCCTGTTCCACTAGTGTTTCCCGTCTTGTTGCTTATTGGAAGTACGGAGATAATTTGCATCAAGCGATGCAATTAATAATGAAATGAGATCGAAATTGTCACTAAGACAAGTGGAACATGTTCGCGGTCATCATTGAAACAGATGTTCTATAACGGTCAAGCAAATTATGATGATGTCTGTACTCATTCAAAGAGATGACTTCAGCTCTACCATTAAGTGTCTGTAATCATTCAAAGAGATGACTTCAGCTCTACCATTAAGTGTCTGTACTCATTCAAACAGATGACTTCAGCTCTACCATTAAGTGTCTGTACTCAATCAAAGAGATGACTTCAGCTCTACCATTGAGTGTCTGTAATCATTCAAGGAGATGACTTCAATTCTACCATTAAGCGTCTGTACTCATTCAAAGAGATGACTTCAGCTCTACCATTAAGTGTCTGTACTCATTCAAAGAGATGACTTCAGCTGTACCATTAAGTGTCTGTACTCATTCAAAGAGATGACTTCAGCTCTACCATTAAGTGTCTGTACTCATTCAAAGAGATGACTTCAGCTCTACCATCAAGTGTCTGAACTCATTCAAAGAGATGACTTCAGCTCTACCATTAAGTGTCCGTACTCATTCAAAGAGATGACTTCAGCTCTACTATTAAGTGTCCGTACTCATTCAAAGAGATGACTTCAGCTCTACCATTAAGTGTCCGTACTCATTCAAAGAGATGACTTCGACTCTACCATTAAGTGTCCGTACTCATTTAAAGAGATGACTTCAGCTCTACTATTAAGTGTTCGTACTCATTTAAAGAGATGACTTCAGCTCTACTATTAAGTGTTCGTACTCATTCAAAGAGATGACTTCGACTCTACCATTAAGTGTCCGTACTCATTTAAAGAGATGACTTCAGCTCTACTATTAAGTGTCCGTAGTCATTCATAGAGATGACTTCGACTCTACCATTAAGTGTTCGTACTCATTCAAAGAGATGACTTCAGCTCTACCATTAAGTGTCTGTACTCATTTACAAAGAGATGACTTCAGCTTTACCATTAAGTGTCTGTACTCATTCTAAGAGATGACTTCAGTTGTACCATTAAGAACCTAAGATTCAGCAGATCCATGTAAACACCAACCCTCTTTCGATGAAATCATGATGTGTTATCAATCCTGTCAAGGTCATAAAATATTGTATAAACGTTCTAACAGTTTGAACATGTCAATAAATCTGACATCTGTTACAAAATATATACATGTTTCCCAACTAATTTTGAAGAAAACAAATTATTTGTATATCTGATGTCATTGTCCTAAAGGTTTTTGTTGTGTAGAATGATATGTTCAGTGTTAAAGTCAATGCAAGACGTTTAACTATTTATGAATACGAAACACGATTAATTTTAAGCGATATTGATCATACAACATTTCCTTTTTTTCATAGAAAAGGTAATTACTCAGATACCTCTTGATCGATAAGAACAACTACATTTATATCATGACAAGATAACATTAGTATTTATATATACCCTAGATAGTCCTTGACAACTGAGAGCGAAAGGAAATTAGTGGTCCAAGGACTCCTAAGTATAGGATAAGGATATACAGTATGATTGTCAATTGCAAATGACCAAATGACAAGGATATGAACAATTACAGGTCACTGCAAGCCTTCAACAATGAGCAAACCAATACCTTATGTTATACTATATACACTTCCCCATGTTACCAGATATGACAAAATATGAAATCTTAAAGCGAAAACCATCGGTCTGATGAAAAAAATGTACGCAAAACAAATGTGACTGACAGCCACCAGCGAAATCAGGTTTCTTGCTTGGGACAGGCACGTGAAGATTGTGGCGGGGTTTGACATGCTTGTGAGCGCCCAAACATTCCCTTACCTGGTAGAGAGGTATAAAACTTAATATCAGAACAAACTAAAAATAAGTTGGAAAGATACATTGCATATCGTCTTAGTTTTATAGTCAACTTAATACAAACGATGACAAATACAAAACATTGATAAGAATACAGAAGGGTTTGGATGTATAACTGCAACTAACAAAAGTTAACATAAGCGGCCTTTACATAAAATCATGTCTTTTCTTATAGTATGCAATGGTGTTTATAGGGGTAATTTTTGTTTTAATACTGTTTTTTCTTTTTATCAAATCGACAAATTGCTATTTAAAGTGATTACAAAGTAATCAAAAGTCCAGTGTTTATCCACTATTATGAGGGATACTTAAGATAGCAGACAGTTTAAAAGACTGGCATTAATTTTACACCAATGCTTAAAAATGAAAACTTTAACTTTGACTGTACATTCTGTTCAATAAAAAAATGGGACATTTTGCATTTTCCTTTGGCCAAAAACAGAAATTCGTTAAAATATAATGGTTTCAAGAAACATAATACATATCAATTCCGTTTAAAGACTGTAGGCGAGTAACCGGTCATTTTTGTATTTTTTTTGTTTGAAACCAAAGACAACATTCGATTGTGTGAACTGTTATTCAGAAATCGTAAACAGTTAAATCAATTTAATGTAATTGCACATAAAATTGAGAATCTGAATGGAAACGGGGAATGTGCCAAAGAGACAACAACCCGAACGAAGAGCAGAAAACAGCTCAAGGCCTGCTCTGTTTTGAATATTACCATAAAAGATGGGATGTGAATTACCTGAACGTATAAGATGTCTGCACGTTGATTTATTTTTACGAATGATGTCCTTGTATACCGATGATAAAATTTTGTAAATGTTTTGACAAGTTTGCGATATCGAAACCTCTGGTGTAATAATTTTTCAGTAATACAGAGATAGTTCTTTCGTTAAAATCAAATACGTTACGTAGACGAGCGAATGGAACAAGTTGAGATCTAAACACCGTAAGATGGATCCAAGGGAACGTCACCATCTAAATATGAATAATTAACTGCTACAGTAGAAAATGAAAAATCTTATCTTTTATTGTAAATTTTAGTATTAAGCTACCCAATAAAGATATAGATATCAAGATCCAGGAACGGGCAGTGTTCATTGTTAGTATTAGCTTTATTCAAAGTCAGTTCAACAGGATAAATCTCTTTAGTATAGATACTGAAGTCCTCATTATTGACAGCCAATATATCCTCCAAATATCTAAAAGTGTTATTGAATTTTTGTATCAGATGTTGTTTTGATGGCTCTTTGCTGATTTTAGTCATAAATTGTAATTCGTCACTATACAGAAACAGGTCCGCAATAAGTGGAATTCCGATAACTTGACGATATACGGAATCTCCATAGCGAACAAAAATATTATCTAGTAAAAATTCAAGTGCATATATATAAAATTTTCATGCTTTACAATTAAATTCAAATTCTTCCATTCGC